TTTATTTATTTATTTGACAGAGAGAGACACAGCGAGAGCAGGAACACAAGCAGGGGGAGTGGGGGAGGGAGAAGCAGGCTTCCCGCAGAGGAGGGAGCCCGATGTGGGGCTCGATCCCAGGACCCTGGGATCATGACCTGAGCCGAAGGCAGACGCTCAACGACTGAGCCACCCAGGCGCCCCTTCGTATAAGAATTCTTGAGTGTTGTTTTGGGATGCAGTTAAACTACTTGTAAGTAGTTTGGTCCTTTGGGGTCTTGCTTTTATGATTTGTTAGGTGGGTCCTGACCAGTGCTCTATCTAGGGCTTATTGTTCCCCACTATTGAGGTAAGACCTTCCAGAGTCTTCTACCCAATGTCCTGTGAATTAGGGGTTTTTCCTCGTCTGACTGGTGGCAACAGGAGCTATTCCTGGACCCCTGTGAGCAATGGGCATATTTCCTTAATCTGTTTGGATGGTTTCTTCCCCAGACTGGGGTAGTTTCTTCACATCCCTATACTGATCAGTCTTCTGAATACTTGAGAGGCCCCTCTGCAGATCTCTAGGGTCTTTCCCTGTTCAGGTCTCTTGGGTTCTCTGTCCCGGGACACCCCCTGCCTTGCTGTCCCCAGACTCAGCTCCGTCTCACCTCATATGCAGTGTGCCAGGGCCCTACCTGGGTTTGCCCTCTCTGTGCCATGTCTTCTCTCAAGACCAGGAAATGTGGCAATCAATCAAAGGTCTCACCTTACTATGTGCCCTGTCTCTCAGGGATTGCTGTCGTTCATTGCATGAGGACCAATATCCTGAAAACTGTTGTTTCCTATACTATAGTTTGTCTGATTTATTTTGGTTGATTCAGAGGGGAGGAGAATCTGGTCCCTGTTATGTCATCTTGGGAGGAAGTAGAAGTCCTACTTAATAAACACCAACTGACCAAATTCGCTGAATTAACTCTGACCTGACCCTCCTAGATTCCTGTGGTCACGGGGCCTAGCACACAGTAGGTGTTTGTTTGCTATGTTTGTTGAATGAAGGAATACAGGAATACTTGGCTTTTTTTTTTTAAAAGATTTATTTATTTATTTGAGAGAGAGAGCTCGAGTCGGGGGGTGCAGAAGGAGAGGGAGAGAGAATCTCAAGCAGACGCTGCGCTGAGCACAGAGCCTGACATGGGGCTCGATCTCACTATCCTGGGATCATGACCTGAGCTGAAACCAAGAGTAGGACACTTAACGGACTGTGCCAGCCAGGCGCCCCAGGGGTCCTTAACCTCTGTCCTCTGCTCCCTGTCTTTGTCTTCAGGGCACTGCACTTGGCAGTGATTCATCAGCATGAGCCCTTCCTGGATTTCCTCCTAGGCTTCGCGGCTGGCACTGAGTACCTGGACCTGCAGAATGACCTGGGCCAGGTGAGCCACCCAGGGCCAGTATAGGGCTTGGGGCTGGGTTCTCAGTGCAACCCCTAACCCCTAACCCCTGCCCTCTGCTCCTGCAGACAGCCCTTCACCTGGCAGCCATCCTGGGGGAGGCCTCCGCAGTGGAGAAGTTGTATACGGCGGGTGCCGGGTTGCATGTGGCAGAACGTGGGGGCCACACAGCGCTGCACCTGGCCTGCCGCATGAGGGCACATGCCTGCGCTCGTGTGCTACTCCAGCCCCGTCCCCGGTGCGCCAGGGGAGCCCCCAACACCTACCTCGCTCAGGGCCCTGAGCGCACCTCTGAGGCCAACCACCCGCCTGTTGCCTTGTACCCCGAAGCCGACTCGGAGAAGGAAGATGAAGAGAGTGAGGAGGGTTGGAAGCTGCAGCTGGAGGCTGAGAACTATGAGGGTGAGGGTTTCCCAGTCACTGGGCAGGCCTGGGCTCCTGGGCAGAGTGAAAGCACTGGGCTCTGGGCTCGGTTCTCCTGACTCAAGACCCAGCCCCTTGGGAAATAACGCTGAGGCTTTAGGGACCCCAGGCATGGGGAAGGGCTCCCACTGAGGCCCCAGATTACTGAGAATCGGTCATGTGGGATTCAGGACCCGGACCACGTGGAGGCCCGAGACCGCTTGGGACCCAGACCTGTCACCCGCAGGCCTAGAACTACTAAGATCCCATTGTTGGGCCCAGGTTCCCCGGGTGGAAGGCACAGCTCACCCCAGACCTCACTCCCTCCTACCAAAACCACAGGTCCTAGTCTGCCCAGGACAAGGGAACTCAGGGCCCGGATTCCCAGAGATTGACACTGGGTTCAGGGGCAGCCCTCAGCCAGGCCACGTGGGAAAAAAGAGCCCATCTACCCAGGGCCCTGGCATCTGAGTCTCAGCTCCCCCACCCCTAAGCCCAACTACCTGGACCTAGCCCCTTCCACAGAGGGACCGAGATCACCCAGGACCCAGTGTTCAGGGCCCAGCCCACCCCCCAAGGTCATGGGCCCTTCAACTACTCAGGATCCAGGAATCTGGGGTCCAGGTCCTTTGTGAGATAAGGACCAGAGACTCAGTCTCCCGGTCCCAAGATCCGGGCCCTGTCCAAAGCCCCCAGGCTGTTCACCCATAAGCCCCAGACATTCCACAAGCCAGGCATTGGCACTGCCAGCAAGTTCCAGACCACCAAGACTTAGGCACTGGGGGTGCAGTTGCCTCTTTGACTTACCCAGGAATTCAGGAGCTGGACCCCAAACTCAGTCCCCTCAGGCCACGAAGCCCTCCCCTATTGGCATTTGGGGCCCGGGCCCCTCACCCCCATCGCCTGACACCAGTCACTCTATCCGCAGGCCATACCCCACTTCACGTGGCCGTCATCCACAAAGATGCAGAGATGGTCCGGCTGCTCCGGGAGGCCGGAGCAGACCTCAACAAACCGGTGAGCTGCCCTAGGGAGAAGGCGTGGCAGGGAGGGTTGCCCCCCAGAGTGGGGCAGGGACTCCTTAACCTCTGTGCTGCTCCTTGCAGGAGCCCACGTGTGGCCGGAGCCCCCTGCACTTGGCAGTGGAGGCCCAAGCCGCTGACGTGCTGGAGCTCCTCCTGAGGGCAGGTGCCGACCCCGCCGCCCGCATGTACGGGGGCCGCACCCCACTGGGCAGCGCCACGCTCCGGCCCAACCCCATCCTCGCCCGCCTTCTCCGTGCACATGGAGCCCCTGAGCCTGAGGACGAGGACGACAGGCCAGGCCCCTGCAGCAGCAGTAGCGACAGTGACAGCGGGGACGAGGGCGTGAGTCAGGAGGAAAGACCGGGCGGCCCAGCTGGGGGGTCAGGGTGAACAGGCAGGTGGGAAGGGGGGAGAAGAGAAGTTAGGCAGCGTAGTGAGACCGACCTCGGGCCGCTGCGATCAGAGAACTCAGGCAGCGGTGCCAGGGCTGTCAGGCAGCCGTCCGGGGAGACCTGGACAGGGCTGGCGGGGAGAACGCAGGGAGTGGGGCTTGGGCAGAGGGAGAGCTCAGGCGGAGTGACCGGTAATGGCAGTGGTTGACAGCGTAGGCAGTTACTGCGCTGAGCAAGAGTTGGAGAACTCAGGCGGTGGGAAGCCGACCTCGGGCAGCAGTGATTCCAACCCTGGCAGCAGCGGGGAAAGACCTTAGCCAGCAGTGAGGAGGTCGTGTTGGGGAACCCAGGCGGCAGAGACAATCCCTTGGGCAGGGGACGAGGTTGGGGGGCAGGGGTGAGGAGTCTGGGTAGAGGCGGAGGGAGGGGGCAGAGGAGGGAGACCCCAGAGGTGGTAGCGAAGCAACAGGGCTGGAGCCCGAGCAGTGGCGGGTGGCAGGAGACCATGGGTGACCTTGAACGTGGTGGTTGGCAAACTAGGAGCAGGGGATTTGAGTGGGGGGGACTTGGGCTTCCAGGAAGGCCCCAGTTGCCGGGGTGGGTGGAGGAAGCTGGATGGCCTGCAAGGGGACAGCCGCCTGATCCCCTGTGCCTGCCCCCCTCTGCCCCCAGGATGAATACGATGACATCGTGGTCCACAGTGGCCGGAGCCAAAACCGGCTACCTCCCACCCCAGCCTCAAAACCTCTCCCCGATGACCCCGTCTGACCTAATTGTTAATAGAGTTTCCAGTTTAATAAAATCCCAGTTCTGACAACCAGAGACTAGACTGACGGTCACCTTTGCGGTCCTCCAGTTTATTCCTGGGTCCCTGTCCCTCCAAAATCAAGTGCCACACAAGCCTCTGTGGTTTTCTCTGTGCTTTATTCACACCGAAGGGTTGGAGTGGGTGACGCGGGAGGCCGGGTGTGCCCTGAGTCAGTGTGAGCCCAGCCCCTCTACCCAACTCAGACTCAGCCCCGGGCCCGGTCGCACGGCCCACCCTTCTCCCCGTTCCTGCAGGTTGGGGAATGGAGTGGGCTGTTAGGTGAGTCCTAATGGAGTGGGCTGTTTGGGGGGTCCATAGTCCTCAGCCATAGGGTGTGTTGGGAAGGAGAACATGAGGCCGGGGGTCATCCCTCCCTCCTGATCTCCTCCCTCAGCATCTCCGTTGCCTTCTTCAGCTCCTCTCTCACGTGCTCCAGCCGCTCCATGTCGTGCTCCTGGTGGGATCAGAAATGGGCTGGTCAGCACCCACCTTCAAAGGCGGGCCACCCCAGTTGTCACCCGTGAATGTGGGCCGTGTCACTTTGCACAACGGCAGCCAGCAGTGGTCATCCTGGTCCCCATGGACCGCGATGGGGGCCGCAGTGGAAGAGTTACGTTGGCCAATGCGACCAGCGGTGCGGTCCGTGTTGACTGCCTAGCCAACAGCAGCAGAGAGGACTCGGAAAGGTGCCCAACTTGGATGCCATGACCCCTTTGTGAGGTGCTGGCCATTTTGGCCACTGCCACCAACCGTGGGGACATCATCCCACTTCCCACGACTCAGCAGTGGTGTCCATCTCTAGTCCGGTGAACCGAGCACAGCAGCCCCTTCCCATGTGGCCAGACGGCTGCTTACAGAGCACAGGGGTGGCTAACTCAGACCCTTCTCTGCCACACTCGGGGCCGTCTTGGTTACTGTCATCTCAGCCAGCCTGAGCATCTCGGCCCAGCAGAGGCTGCTGCCTCGTCCCCGTGTCGGTCCTGGTCACTATGATCCATTTGTGGTGGATCTTGGCTGTTTATGGCCCAACGCTGGTACATGTTTGGTCGTAACCCACCGGCCATTTGGTCCACCCCACTTGCCCACCGCCTCCTCCGCTCACCTCCCTCTCCGGAGCCTCTTCCTTCTCCTCCTGCTCGGGCTCGGCTTCTGGCTGCTGGTGGCGGTGGTGGTGCGGTGAGTGCTCGTGTCCGCCCTCTCCGCCCCCCTGGGCCCCCTGCCGCAGGCTGCGGCCCCCGCCGAGCAGCAGCATGCCCTTCTCCACCGCCTCCTCCTCCTCCTCCTCCTGGCGGAGGCGGCTGTGGAGCTGCTCCTGGATGGTCTGTGGCCGCACCTCAGACTTGCGGGCCCTCTCCGCTGCTTCCTCTTCCTCTTCCCTCACTTCCTGGCTGGGCCCTGTCTTCCCAGCCTCTTGCTTCCGGAACTCCTCAACCAGTAGGCCCTTCTCCTTGGTGGACGCACAGCCACAGGGCTCTGTCTCACACATCTCTGGCGGAAAGACAGAGGATGCTCTCTGGGCGGCAAATCGGGAAACCGAGACCTGGGGGGAGTTCTGGGGTCTGCCCGAGGTCCCACGGGGGGCGGGGGCTGCCCAAAACTGGGAGAGGAGGCTCAGGTCTGGGGGACATTCTCTGCCCCTCCTGTACCTCTGCAGGGAACCCCAAGGGTGGAGCTGGAGGCCAGGCTGGACACTGCGCAATGCTGTGCCAACCCAGGCAAGGGGGCTCTGGGAGGAGACACCCCTTCTTCCAGGAAACCCTGACCGAAACCCTGGGTGGGGTGGGGGCTCCCAAGAGGAACTGGGGCCTGGGCCCTGCTTACCTTTGTGGAGAAGAGCTGTGCAGGGGCTTCTCTGGCCCTGGCCCAGTGTCAGCACTTCCGTGACCACCTCGGCCAGACAGCGGGTCAGCTGGGGGTGAAGGGTCAGAGGGGAGGCTGAGGGCAGGGCAGAGCGGGCAATGAGAGCAGTTGGGGGTGTGGAGAGGAGATGATCATGCAGGCTGGTCAGAGAGGGCCAGGGTGCGGGGGAGGTGGGGCAGGGCAAGGGGTCCGCACTCCTCACCTCTTCCTCGGAGGGTCTTGGTGCCAAGGGAGCAGCGGTGGCTGTGGAGGAAGATGGGTGCTGGGCTCGGACACCCCCCATCCCACACCGGGTGCTGTCCTCGGTGCTGATCCCAGCTCCAAGATGCATCCCGTTACTCACCTGTCCCCTCCCCGAGCCTATCTGCCAGGTGTACCGTCCCCACCTGGAAGCTCAGCCCACGAAGTCTCTAGTCTGACCCCACTGGGTGCACCGTTCCCGCCCCTGGTCCCTCGAGTCCCTGGTCCCCGAGCTGGCCGCAGAAGTCCCCTCTCCAGTTTCTGGCACTCACCCGCCCCCAGCAGCAGCACCAGCAGCGGGGCCAGCGGCAGCAACAGCAACACGGAGGGGGGCCCGCGGCGCTGCATGGTGGGGCGTCCCGACCAGGGTGCTCGGCGCGGCGCGGCAGCTGCTTATAACCCGCGCCCGCGGCCCCACAGGGTAGGACGTGACATCACCACCGCCTCTTCCCCGCCCGCGGCGGGGTGACAGCTGCGGGGCGGCCACCTGCCCGAGACCCTCAATTATTCATGGGGACCCACGTCTTGCACCCGCTCCCCTCCAGCTAATGGCCCCTGAGTGCCCGCATGGAGGGAGGGTGCGTCCGCCAGACAAACACAGTCTGATGAGCTTTAAGGCTGCACTGGGAAGCTGACCGGGGTTCGAATCCAGCGGCAGTGAATTGCAGATAGACCTCAGGCAACGGCAACTCCTTCTCTTTGGCCATTTCCTCATCTCAAAATTTGGGTCTCCTAAACCTCTTGTTTAGGAGGTCATCCCAGTTCCACCACCAACAGCTGTGCGGCCCGGGGAAAACTGCTGGGCCTCTCTAGGGTTGGTTTCATCCTTTGTGAAATGGGGCCGGCGGCTGCGACCCCACAGGTAAGGCGTGGTGGTAGCCGAGTGCAGGTCATTTAGACAGCACTGGGCACTGGAACTACGCAGGTCCCAGCCCATTCCGGCTGGGAATTTTTATTGAGCACCTACTCTATGCCCAGCCCTCTTACAAAGCCCGGGGCTCCAGCAGCGGACACACTTCCCTGTGCTCTTGGAGCAGACATTTGAGAAGGGGCCGACGCAATACTCAACTATGTGTCAGGAAAAAGAGGAAATGACCCCAGACTCCTGCATCACATGAGCGCTGGGGGCTTTTACTCTGGCCAGTCAGGGAAGTCCTCTCGGAAGAGGGTATTTGCACCAAGGCCCGAGTGATAAAATGGAGGCAATCACGCAGGATGGAGGGAAAGCGTAGCCAGGGAAGGGACCAGTGAGGGCAAAGGTCTGAGTCGAGAATGAGTCTGCAGGGTTCGAACGGCCAGCCCCAGAGGAAGAGAGACAAGAGGCGGGCTGAGGAGGAAGGCTGGGGGCGGATCACTTGGGGCTCTGTGGATCCTGGGGACCACTCTGTCCTTTCCCGAGTGAGATGGAGCAACGTGAGGGCTCCGAGCAGGGGAGGGACGTGACCTGACCGGGGGGTCCACAGGGTTGCTCTGGCTTCATATGGGGGCCCAGGGAGCCGGGAGGCAGTGAAGAGGCTCGTCAGTCCCAGCGAACGGGACCAGGGAGGAGAGAGTTAAGGGTGGCTTCTGGAGATATTCTGAAGGAGGAGCGGCCAGGCTCTGCTGCAGGAAAGACTGCCACAGGCGTGAGAAGAGTTGAGGGTCACTGGACGGGCACGGCGAGGGGCAGAGCGAGTTCTGGCTTCGCTGAGGCTATGCTGTCTCCTGGACCCCTCCCTGCCGCAGGGGGTGGAGGGGTGAGGGTCAGTGCAAGGTGCCCCCTGTTCTAGAGCAAGGGGAGAGGACTTGGCATGCTCTTAGTTCCGGCGGTGGCCCCCAAGCTGCCCTCCATGTGCTCTGGGGGTTGTGGCCACGGTCCCTCCAGCCACAGCCCCTGGGATGGTTTAGCACCTCCGCCCAGCTGCCCAGCATGCCCGGCGAGTCGGCCAGGGTCCTCCGCCTGGCTCACAGATCCACAAAGGCCTTGGTTCTGACCATTTATTGGGGACTTCCTGCTAAGTACTGAGGGAGGGAAGGAGGAAGGAGGGTTGGAGGCTTCTTCCTCTCCTCCCCTCATCCCTACAACCTTCAAGTCCCCAGATGTCCTGCTTTCTGGTGCAGGCTGGGACCGTCAGTGGTGACGGGGTCGCTGGCTGATTCTGGGGAAGTAGGGAAGGGGTCCAGGGACAGAGCCGACACGAGGAATGCAGATGTCAGGACTCTGCTCAGGTAAATAGGTCCCGGGCTTCCAGGGTCCCCCGAGCTCCAGGAAGCAGCCACGGCCCTGCTGACTGATGAGGGTGAGTTCTCAGCTCGAAACAGGCCGGCCCGGGCGCCTGGGCTTCTGGGGCTGGTTGGGGCCGATGTATTGGAGAGGCATGTGGGTGGGGGCCGTGATCCGATCGGTGCCCAGGTAGGGCTGGAGGGCAGGGGGCACGAGGACCGAGCCATCCTGGGGACAAAGCAGGCCTCAGGTTGCTGCCACTGCCCCAGGCCTGCACACTCTTCCTCCCCGAGTTCGATCCTCGCCCGCCTCACCTCTTGCTGATTGCTCTCCAGGAGGGCGATGAGGAGGCGGGGGATGGCGCAAGCCGTGGCGTTCACCTGGGAGAGAGGCATGCTCGCGTCCACATGATGACCTCCGCTGGCCTGGGAGAGGCTGAGGTGGTGTGGGCCTAGGCGGGTGGAGGCTCTGGGGCGGGTGGGAGGGGCGTGCGGGCGCTCACCGTGTGGGCGAACTGTAGCTCCCCAGCCTCCTTCTGGAACATGATGTGTAGCCGGCGGCTCTGGAAGTCTGTGCAGTTGGATGCGCTGGTTACCTGGGTGAGGGGGTGGGGCAAGCTGAGAGGATCAGCTGTGGGGGGGTAGGGGGTCCCGTCCCCTGTTCCCAACAGGCGTCCCCACTGCACCGGGGGCTCACCTCACCGAAGCGGCCGCGGCCTGGCATCCAGGCCTCGATATCAAACTTGCGGTAGGCGGGAAGGCCCAGTTCCTGGGTGGGCATGTCCAGGACGCTGCCGCAGAAGAGAAGGTCATGGTGAAGGTCAGCAGGTGAGAGGTGGAGGCAGCGGCAGGGGGGGTGGTGGAAGAGAAGCGGATGGAGAGGAGGGTGGGGAGGGGAAAGCATGGGCCACTGTCAGCACCCCCGGTTTGTAATGGGTCCCCAAGGAAAAAGCCCACATCCCCAGGCCTCTCTGGAAGCCTGTGACGGACAGGGCTCGGGGAGGGGGGTGTGGGGCTGCCTGAAAGGGAAGGGGTGTGCCCCCACCTCCACTCTGCCTGGGGTGAAGTGTGGATGGGGGATGGGGCGGCACCGAGGGATGGGAGCTAGGACAGGGAAGGGGCCTGGGCCTCCACACTGGAGCGAGAGCCCTGTGCTGCTGAGGCTGCTGGCCCCGTCCTATGGTCCTACACGGGATCTTACAGCCTGACAGACACACACCCTGTAGACATTCCTAATACGGGAAAAGGGGGTGGGGAGGATGGGGGTGGTGAGGCTGTTCACGATCAGGGAGTACCTAGCCAGCCCGTCCCTCCTCCCGCACCCCCACCCTTCTCCGCACCGGAAGTGCAGGCCCAGCTCCGTCAAGATCTCCATCTGCAGGAACAGGAACTCCTCCAGCAGCTGTGAGCTCTGCTCCAGCCCAGGGCCTGTCACCCCAAACATCTCCACCTGGGGCAGTGCAGCGGGCACAGGAGTCAGGAAGCCCTGGGTCACTGGAGTGGCCCTCCTCCCCAGGCCCGGCTACACCAACCTTGGTGAAGTGGTGTACTCGATACAGTCCCCATGGCTCCTTCCCTGTGTCTGTCTCAGCCCGGTAGCAGGTACTGGAACAAACCATCCTGGGGGGAGCAGGGGAGGTGGTGTCAGGGAGGGGAGAGGGAATGTCACGGGTGGGGACAAGATCTAAAGGAACTGAACATCACCTGATGGGCAGGTCCCTGAAGGCCACGGAGTGGTCCATGAAGTAGCCTGGGAGGAGAGGGGAACAGGATGGGTCAGCAGGGGTGCCACCCATCCACAGGAAACCTCTGTGAGCATTAGAAAAGGCGTCCCCTCTGGCGGACACAACCTCACAGTAGGGCAGTAGCTGGCTCCTCACTGGGCTGTTGTGCAGTAAACAACCTACACAACCGTACATGTTGGCCCTGGGGTCACTGGAACATTCTCGGCAGGCAGCTGTCATCCCTAGGATGCTCCTGGTTGTCCCCCTACAATCCCTGCTGCTCTGAGGATGCTGGAGGTATCCTCACCCCTGCTGTTGCTTACCTGCAAGCCCCACCTCTGCTGTCCCAGCCAGATTAAGGTCTTCAAAGCGGGAGGGGTCGATGTTGTAAATCTGGGATGGGTTGGCATTTGGTGTCATCCCACAGCCTTCCTGGGGAGGAGGCCAAGCCACAGAGGTCAGGGCACAGAGGACCTCGGCCTCCATTTTGCAGTCACAACCCCCGCTCCTCCCCAGGAAGCTTCTGGAATAGCCGTGGCCTCCTTGTTCTGGCCCGACGCCCTCAACCCAGTCCCAGGGCGGTCTCTGCCGGGCGAGACAGGCTGTTCTTCACGCCTGGGGTCCCCAGAACTGGCACACAGCCAGGCGTGGGGAGCACTCACAAACACAGCTCCTCGGAGAAGGTCTGGCACTGTCATGGGAGTGAAGCCCTGCGAAGAGAAAAGGGGGGGGTGAGGAGCTCAGCCAGGACTCCCACCCGGCCCCAAGCTCAAACCGGAAGCAGCAGCACTGCAGAGTGGGCCACAAAGCCCGCTCCACCTCAGAGGAAACTGAGGAAGGCCTGAGCGGTGGGCTTGGAGCTGGCTCTGGGGCCCTCTCTGCTGGGGCTTCACCGTTTCCTCGCTCAGTTCAGTGACACAGGGTAGCGGGAGGTGTAGTGAAAGCTTTCTGTGGCTCCCCAGTGCCCTCAGGAAATGTCCGGGTCCCTCACTGCTGCCCGTGCCCCACACCTCCAGCCTCTGCCAAGCCCTCTCGGTTCAGCAACACTACATTTCCCCGACGCTCCCTTTCTGCTAGAGGCAGGTTGGGGAGGTGACGAGCTCAGGCTCTAGGGCCAGCCCCAGGCAGCAGCCACGAGATCCTGGGCTAGTCACACCCTCTCCAGGCCTTCATTTCTCCATCTCTGAAGTGGGGATAATAATGGCACCTACCTCCCAGCGCTGCTCTAGGAACGAAATGTGTCAATAATATGTGTAAAGCTCTGTAAACAGTGACTAGAGCAGAGGTGACCCCCCCCACCTCCCCGCCTTGAGCCTTCTGAGTCAGCGACCATGCCCCCCCCCCCCATCCCCTTCCAGGCAGCCCTCCCAGACTGGCCCATACCCGGCGGACGAGCTTGTTGAGTGTGAAGCTGACCAGGCCGTGCTGCAGGAGGGCCCCAGCCCCACGGAGGTAGTAGGAGCGGTGGCCGGACACGTGGGACAGGCGCCTGGGAGACAGATGGGCAGATAGGCGGGTGTGTGTGGGCCGGGGCTGATGGGGGATGAGGGGGACTCTTCTGCACCCCAGGGCAGAGGCCAGCTGCCAGGCGGGGGACCGGGCATCAAACATTCATGCGGGGTGAGGCCCTGGGGCTCCCCACCCGGTGCTGAGCCAGCTGCTGGGGTGGGGACGGTGGGTGGCCCTTACTTCTGACGGATGATGTCGAGTTTCTCGGCGATTTCCAGGTGGCCCCGGGGTGGGAAGGAGAAAGCTGGACCAGGATGAAAAGCAGTGGGGTAAGGGTTGGGGGGAGAGACATGGAACAGGGACAGGGAGAGGGTTAGAGAGCCAGCGGGAATGAGCGGCAGTAAGACAGAGGGAGACCGAGGGAGCGGGGGGAGAGGAGTGGAAGGGAGGGGGAGGCCGGGAGAGAAAGGGAACGGGGTGGCGGCAGAGACGGGCCTGGCCAAGGCGGACAGAGATGGAGAGAGACACAGGAAGCAGAGGTGGAAAAGGAGAGAGAGGGCAAGGGAAGAGAACACTGGGAAGCGAGAAAGCGGGAAGGGGACAGAGAGCCAGAGCCAGACCAGAGTCAGGGAGGCAAACCCAAGGGAATCCGGGGCCAAAGTGGGGCAGGGACAGACTGCCGTGCACACACAGACAGGAAGGAAGGCGGGGGAGGGGCGCACAGACCTTCTACAGGGTCCAGCTGCACCCCAGACCCCGGGGAGCCCCACCCCAGCCTGGGGGCTGGCCCACCTGGCTTGTCTCCGACCACGTGCAGCACTCGGGCCTGGCTCTCGTCCCCAATGGGCTGCAGAGAGACAGCGGGAGTCATGGGGGAGGTGGTCCCAGGGGGGCCCCCAGGCCCCCCCTGGGCCCAGCACGGTGCTCACCACGTCCGGGTGGGTCCGGTTGGGCAGCCTCAGCGCCTGCAGGAAGAACTGCTCCTCGAGCTGGGTCTCCTTGGGGTACAGGACCATGAGCTGCTTGCGGATCTCCCGGCCATGTGCCCGCAGGCTCTGATATTGGGGGTCCTGGGGGTGGGGGTGGGTGGGTCAGCCCAGGAAAGGACAGGGGTCCCTCAAACCAGTCTGACCTCGAGCCTTGCTGGCAGAACCTCTGTGGCGGACACTCATTGTCTCTTTGGCCCGACATTCTGAATTTCCTTTTGGGAAATTCCCTCCCCTCACCTCACCACCATGTGGCATGTCCAGAGGGTCATGACTCAGGCCTGGCCTACCAGAACATTCCATGGCCTTGGCCACAGTGACAGGCTCAAAGACAGGCACATGACCCAAGCCCCGGGACTACGGCTGCAGCTGTCAGGGAAGTGGCCCCCTTTGTTCGCCACCCTGGCTCCCCTTTCTCTAAGAGGAGAAAGTTGGTCTGGGAACGAGAAGAAAGCAGAACCAAATATGGAGCCAGCCTGTCTCATGAATCAATAGATTCACTTGGGTCAACAGTGCTGTTTGTTGTCTTTGGTCACACTGTAGGAATCAGGACTCATGTGGCCCCTGCCCGCTCCCACTAGGGATGTGCATCAACCCCCTGTAGTACCTGCTGTACTTGACCGTTGTCCTGGTTTACCTGGTGGAAGAGAGACGGGGAGGGTGATTAGGTTCCTGAAGTTGGGGCCAGGGAGGTGGGAAAAATGGAGGGGTGAAAGGTCAAACAGGGCCAGGGGGTGTGGGGTGGGGGTGGGGAAGGGGTTCTGAATTCCTTGCTCTGCAGATGCCTGGCCAGACAGACGTTCCTCCACTCCGTGCCTCAGTTTCTCTCTCAGTAAAGCCAGGAGGAGGCAAGATAACGGACAGTAATCACACCTGCAGCTCTGCTGACCGGGAGCTACCTCATGCCTGTCTCCGCAGCGGGCTCTCACACCATCGTATCTCTCCATAACCTACTCCATGAAGCGGGCCTCGCTGTGCTCCCCATTTCGTAAATGACAAAACCGAGACTTGGAGAGGTAAAATCTGTGGACTTGTGACCTTCTACGATCTGGAGCAGCAGAGGGGAAAGCAGGCTAGACTGGAGTCTGAATGCGGGGTGCCTCCAAGCTATGTGTCCTCGGAGAACTCTCGTCTCTTCTCTGAGCCTCGGTATGCCCACCTGTGAAATGGGCTCATAGGAGCTCCCCAGCAGGGCTGGTGCATGGCTTCCCTGGAAAGATGGGTTAGCACTCACTGAATGCTGTGATCACTTCTGTTGTCTGCACTGGCTGCCCGCCTGCGACGCATGTCGCCCGGGGCCTGGCACCTCTGTAGTAGGGTCACCAGGAGATGTAACTAGCCTTGCAACTGGCCTTCGAGTGGAGTGGTGGAAAGCAGCCTGAATGCCTGGGTGCGAATCCTGCCCCAACTTTCTGGCTGTGACACGGAGGCACATTTTTAACCTCCTGGGGCCCCCGTGTCGTCAGCTGTAAGTTGGGTTTGGACTGTCCCCATCTCCCTGCGTTGTGAGGGCTGCACCTGGAACAATACCTGGCACACAGTGACTGCTTATGTAAACGTGTGCTGTTGATTTTATGACGACTTTTCCGCCCCCGGTGGCAGATGCCATTGGCTGTCCAACCCAAGACTATTTGCCCTCCATCCTCCAGTCCCACAGACACCTGACTCAGTTCACCCTCCCTGGGCAGCCTGCAGTTCAGGGTACGTGGGCTGAGCCGGGGGGCTGCCCCTCAAGGAGCCCTAAGCCCGCTGCAGTAACTCCGGCCCTCCTGCTGATGACAGGTGTGGGTGGTGGGGTGTCCGGGCCCAAGAGGCACGAGGGGACTCTGCTGGATGCTTCAGGAAAGGTCTCCTTGCTCTTGAGAAAGGGCACGCAAGCCCCAGAAAAGTCCCGTTTTCTGCCTCCGGTGGCATCATACAAAGAGATGTGGGTACTACGCCAGCCACCGTGGACTGTGAGAGGGGAAACTGAGGTCGAATCAAGAGGGTGAAGCTCCACCCACCTAGGACCCCCATGCTCACCAGCAGGGCCCGTATTGCCTCAGCCACAGCCTCCTTCTCCTCCTCCAGACTCCGGATCTGCTCCCGCAGCTGCCTCAGCTCCTGCCATGTGGAGATCTGGGGGTGGACACAGGAGGGAAAGGCGTGAAGTGGCCACTCTGTCCTGCCCCTTCTCCCTGCAGCCTCGGCCTCTGGCCACCTGGACCCCAGTGGCCAGTCCCCTTTCCTTTCCCCCCGCCACCCCACACTAGAGCTCCCTGACGTGAAGCCCGTGGCTGCCCAGAATGAAGACGCATTTCCCAGCCTCCCTCACAGCTGCGTGTACTCCCGTGTCCAAGTTCAACCAGTGGACATGAGCAGAAGTGGCAGTGTGGCTCGGGTCACTTCTTTAAAGATAAGCCCCCATGTCGGACTTTCTGTCTCACAGTCCCCTTGGACCGGATGACGGACTGGGAGGAGAGCCAAACCGGACAACATCCTGAGGGATGCGGAGCAAAAAGGTTAAAGGACCCAGGTGCCGAGGGGCATGGAGCTGAGGCCCCGCCCGGTGCTCACCTCGGAGTCTCGCAGAAGAGAGCGGCAGCCGTCCTCTGGGGCTGCGTGCCAAACCTGTGCCCTCCCACCAGGCAGGCTCGGCTCTTGTTCATGGGCATCCCTACGGCTCTGAGGTCCCTCTGTGAGCCCACATCCCTGGGCAAACCCCTCGGACCCCTCTGGCTGTGGTTCTCCCTTTGACCAAATGGCGCAAACACCACCGTCCTCCCTCCTGGAGGCCGGAAGCAGCAAGGGGAGGACAGGCCACAAGGCGGCTCCCCCTGGATGTCTCCTGGACACTTCATGCTCACGCTGTGCAACAGTGACTCGACGACAGGCATCTCTCCCCCCAGATCTGCTCTTCCTCCTTAGGCACAGCCCCGAGAACGCCCATTCCCCACCCCGGCCCTGTGGCCAGGCACCATGTCCTGACCCTTCTGCCTCAGGGACATCCGTCAAGCCTGTCCTCCTCCCATCCCGACTCCTGCCCCCATCCAGAGCCTGTCCTCTCCCGCGAGGACCCCTGTGCCAGCCTCCCAGCCCACAGGCTCACCTCCTCCAGCCAGAGTTCTCACACAAGCCCTCTCCCACCTGAAAGCACCCATAGCTTCCCCGGGCTCCGAGGAACAATTCACATGCTTTGTTATTGCCCAGAAAGCCACGTGCCACACTTCTCTTCACACTTCACACCCTAAAGATGTGTTTTTCAAGCTTTGGGATGTGATCCATTAGTAGGTTATAAATAATTTAGGATTTCTAAACCAGCACTTTAAAAGGCTGTGGTAGGGGCCCCTGGGTGGCTCAGTCGGTGAAGCGTCTGACTTTGGCTCAGGTCGTGTTCGCAGGGTCCTAGGATCGAGCCCTGTGTCAGGCTCTGTGTTCTGCAGGGAGTCTGCTCCTCCCTCCCCCTCTGCCCCTTGTCCCCCTCCCCCGCTCATGCGCACACGCACGTGTGCTCTCTCTTTCGCTCTAATGAATTAATAAAATCTTTTTAAAAAATAAATAAAGAGGGGCGCCTGGGTGGCTCAGTTAGTTAAGCGACTGCCTTCGGCTCAGGTCATGATCCCAGGGTCCTGGGATCGAGCCCCGTGTCAGGCTCCCTGCTCCGCGGGGAGCCTGCTTCTCCCTCTCCCACTCCCCCTGCTTGTGTTCCCTCTCATGCTGTCTCTCTTTCTCAATTAAATAAATAAAATCTTAAAAAAATAAATAAAAGGCTGTGGTAAAATACACAGAAAATTTGCCATTTTAACGATTTTTAAGTGTCCAGTTCAGGGGCATTAAGTGCCTTCACACTGTTGTGCGGCCATCCCCACTGCCCATCTCCAGACCTTTATCTTCCCAAACTGAAACTCTATACCCATTAAACATTTTCTTCCCATTCCTTGCTCCCCCCAGCCCCTGTACGTATATACTCCATTTTGTTTATCTATTCATCCATCTATGGGCACTGGGGTTCCTTCCATCTTTTGGCTACTGTAAGTACTGCTGCTACGAACGTGGGTATACAAATATCTGTTCGAGTCCCTGCTTTCAGTTCTTTGGGGTATATACCAATGGGATTGCGGGATCACAGGGTAATTCCATGTTTAATTTTTTGAGGAACTGCCACCCTTTTTAATTAGTTTTTCTGAGCCTTAGTTTCTCCTCTGATAAAATGGGGGCAATAATGGCACCTACCTCATATGGTGGTTGTGAAACTGAAACGAGGCAAATATGTACAGAGCACTTAGAACAGGATCATCCTCAGCACCTCAGCAAGGTCTAGCAATATGGTGACTCTGGGTTCTCGGTCCCTAGCATGTAGTACTGTATTACTTACCAACTTATTCTCAACACCTAGGACAGAGTAGATGCTCCTTAAATAACCGTTCAGTAGAACCTTTCATTCATTAGATAACCCTATCTACCCTGCTACCCGTGGGCAGGTCTCCACCTCTTACTCTCCAAAGGCAAACTCCTCCACCCTCGTCTGATTCACATCCCTGTCCCCCATGTTCTTCCCCCTTCCCCCATTTTCTTTTGTCGTCTTAAGCCTGGCATGAGGTTGGAGCCCAGAGGGCATTGGCAGGTAGTAAGTTCCTAAGCGCAAAGCAGGTACGCAGCACGCTTTATGGAACAGGCGCATAATGGGTGTGTAGATAGTAGGGCCCTAGCACTCCGTGGATATAACTGGCACACGCACGCGGGCCAAGCACAACATGTTGGCTAAACTTGGGAAGGAACGCAAATTCCCGTAATAGGTTCGCCCCCTGCTGGAGAGTATCTTGCAAACTCAGTTCCGCCCCGCAGCTATGGCCCACGCAAGCGCACTCACGATCGCGGGCAGGTCTTCCGGCCGCAGCTCCCCCTTGCGGAGCCGCAGGGCGCGCGCGGCCTCTTCCGGGCATGCGCACAGCGACTCCATGTCCAGCTGAGGGAGCGCGCTGTAGCCCTCGCGCGCGTGCTCGTACAGGAGGTTCCGGCCTTGTTTCTCCGTGGCAAAAGTTCTCCCTGGGCTATGGCTGCAGACACAGCTTCTCCGGGGCCGAAGACCCCGAGCAGCCACCAAAGGCCACAAGCGCCGCGCCATGGACGCAGCCATCTTGGACAGAGGACAAGGAGCCACGCACCCTTTGTTCCGCCCACTCCGCGTTTAGACCAATTGCAAAGCAGCCGCCCTGCCAATCAGACCCTGGACCGGGTGAGCCCCTCGCGTGCCTCCAATCCAGTCCGACGAGAAAAATTGACTGAGATTGACTCTGTCGTTGACCAATCGTCATTTGTGTCCCGCCCCTTCAGTGTACACGAGCGGCAGATCCAGCCAATCCCGGCTGGGATGGCCTCCGGAAGTAGCTAGAAGCCTGTTCAGCGTGCCTGCGGACCCTGCTAGGGTCGGTGAAGTTGTTGGAATCCTCGGGTTCTCAAATCTCCCCGGCCTTTTCCTCAGTTTCCCTTCTCCTCCTGTGTGCGGGGGGAGGGGTGGTGGTGGGGCGGGAGAGGTTGCTGGGTGACCGAGAGCCTACTCAGAGCGAAACTAAATTTACGGAGGGAATTTCTGTCAGCAGCGTGAGGGGTTGTGGTTCGACGGTCAGGAAATTCCTTGGGTTTAATCCGAAGGCTCTGAGGACGGGATGGGGAGAATTGGGGCCCTTCCCCGGCTACGGCCACTTTTCCCTCTTCCTTCCTGATTCTCTCATCCCCTAACACGGGGACCCTGCAGGCGGCGGGATGTCCTGGTCCGGCCTTCTCCGTGGCCTGAACGCGTCCCTAAGTTATGGTAAGTTGGGGTCTTGAGCTGCAGAGACGCAGCTGGACGAGGGTTATCCCCTCTGGGACTTGGGTGCCTCTGCCGCAGCCCCGGGGGGAAATCGGGGTTTTAAATTAGGGATGCACGGATGCATGGTAGGTTTTAGCGGAGCTCGGGCTGCAAGGGCAAGAGGTGGGAAGTCTTTGCATTGGGGGCGACTGTACGTCGTCAGGTGGGTACCAGGAGTTTGGGTCAATTACTGATTTCTTCAGCAAATACTTATTAAATAACCTCCCCTGGGTGAGACATCCAAGCAAAGGGTTTAGCTCATTCCTTCAGCTGATATTTTTCAAGATCCTGGTGTGTGCCATGCACGGAGAGGGATGCTTTATTTATGTCCCTATGGGCTCGGCAGATATCAGATGCTTCTCATGGCCACTCTGCAAACTTTTATTAAGCACTTTCTGGTTGCCACTCACCAAGGATCACATGACAGGCTTGCGACCTGCCCGGGAACTCTGGGCTAGTTTGACATGCATCTCTCACCGTAGCCTCTCATACACCGTACTCAAGGAGGGGGTGTGAATCTGGTGCCTCTGATACAGTGAGGACACTGAGGCACTGGGAAGCGGAGTCTTGCTCAAGGACATACCGCTAGGAAAAGGCCTCTAGCAATGTCTCACCCCCTTTGAGGATTCTGCTGTAACTTGACACATAAGGAGACATGGAAATGGACAGTAGGGCTAGGACCTGCCCTGGATAGGGAGAGAGTGTCAAGTTTGGGTGTAAAAGGGCATCCGTGCTAGTGACAGGAAAAGGATGAACCTAAAGCCCTGAACTGGGAGCTCCAAGAGGGTATGCCCAGGGCTGTCTCTATCACTGTTGTGCCTCCATTATTGGGGCCAAGACAGTAGGTGCTCAGTGAATGTTTGCTGAAGAGAATCCAGTTATGGCGGCATCTTCTTACATCCTATCCATGAACAAATCATCAGTTTGCCTTGGAAGTGTCTTCCCTCCCCTACCTGTCTTTCTTCTTAGTGCTCTGCAGCCACACTGCTCCCTTTTCTGTTGGTGTGTCTGGGGACACCAGCTGGAGCAGGATGAGTAAGGGGGCAAGTAGGGAGATGAGGTCAGGGAAGTAATGGGGCCAGATCACCTGGGGCTTCATGGGCCACAGAAAGGACTTTGGCTTTGTCCTGAGTGAGATGGTACTGCAGGAGGGAGGGCTCTGGGCAAGGGGGGGGCATGATCTGGCCAAGTGTCCACAGGGTCCCTCTGGCTGCATGTGGGGACCACACTGTAGGAGGAGGGAGAAGTAGGGCTCAATAGACGAGGCTGGACAGGACCAGAGTGGATGCAGTGGAGGAGGGGGGAAAGGGTCTGTAACAGAGTTCGGCTGACATCATCTGCTCATGGGGGTTGGAAGTGGTTATGACGGGCAGGAGGAGGGACACCTCCCTGAAACACCCCATTGGGTTGCTGTGGAGATGGCATGAGTTCACGTAGGTACAGTGCATAGAACAGTCCAGGACACGATGTGAATCTAATCGCTTTTATTATTTTTAAACAGCATTAAAGTCAGTACCTTCCTTGCACAATAAAAGGAGCTAATTCACATTAAATGTTTAAAATAGAACCTGACAGGTGATGGTTGCCCAGTAGATGTTATTACTCTTATTTGTGACTACCCCCAGACGGAAACAAATACATGCTTGGAACCATGCCTAGAACTCTTACGCGTTCACTGGGATAACACCTCCCCCCCACCTGCCCCCCGCCCTCCCGGTTGTGTGTCTCCAGGCCTAGCCCTGGCCTCCCAGCTCCAGGCCAGCCGCCCCATGGCCACCCTGAACCAGATGCACCGCCGAGGGCTTCCGAAGCGGCCCCCTCCACCTCTGGGCCCCACGGCCGGCCGGCCACAGCTGAAGGGAGTAGTGTTGCGCACGTTCATCCGAAAGCCCAAGAAACCCAACTCGGCCAACCGCAAGTGCTGCCGCGTGCGGCTCAGCACTGGCCGAGAGGCCGTGTGCTTCATCCCCGGAGAAGGCCACAGCCTGCAGGAGCACCATGTCGTGTTGGTGCAGGGCGGCCGCACCCAGGACCTGCCTGGTGTGAAGCTCACTGTTGTGCGTGGCAAGTATGACTGCGGCCACGTGCAGAAGAAGAAGTGACCTCCAGGGCCACCTTGGCGGGCTGGGGTTCACCAAGAACCAGAACCTTCCTCTCTGGGTGCCTGCAGTATCCTTGGGAAGCTCTTCCAGCTCTGGAAGCACCTGGTCCTGGGTGCAAATCCTGGCTTCGCCTCTTCCAACTGGAACACTATTGCTCACAGGGGTTCTGGCCTTCCATGTATAGAGCATGGGCTCGCGGGATCTCTTCTGCTGGGAAGGGGTTGCAATAAACACACAGACCCCTCTGCCCCCCCCCCCACAGTTGTTGTGTGAACCCTCCTGCACAGTATTTGCCCACTGCGTGGTATTAGCCACGGAGATTCCCGATGGGCCTTGGTTTCCTCCAGAAAACAGCTCCACTCATAGTATCTTCCTTGTTGGGTTTGTGAAGATGAAATTCAATGCTCTACGTGCAGAACACCTGCAGGTGGCTACTCCGTGGGAAGCTCTGGAGTCAGGTAGGCAGCACTGAGGCCCATTTCCCTTTCCCACAGGCCCAGGATCTGGACAAGGACAGCCCGGCTGTCAAGCTTTCTTATCTGTGGAAGGGGTGTTGAAAGGCTGGGAGGGCACGCGCTGCTGCCTGCCTGGGAGCTGCTGCTCTAGGTTATTTCCAGACTCACACACACCTGGGTCCAAATCCTGGCTCTCCTTTGTTCTCTGACTTTGAATATATGTGTTTCCCCCTCTGGGCCTCAGTTTCCTCCCTCAGGAAATGGCACCGAGAGTAATACTGACCTCACCTGATCACATGCGTGGCCACTGGGAGCCATCCTTCCATCATTGGGCTCTGTGCAAGTCCTGCCTTCCCTGCTTACTGGCCAGGTGACCTTGAGCAGGTCATTGAAACTGAACTTGTTTCCTCCTGGACCGAATAAATAACTGCCTGCCCTCCATTTCCCGCATGGAGCTTAGCATACCTGAAGTTCTCACGATTGGAAACCTCCCATAGGCCTTTTAGGGTTAGGGCTGGGGGCAGACAGTGCATTGATTACAGACAAAAGTCCCCCATCGTTTCACATTTAGCACCAATTTTATTGAGCTAGTTTGTTGGCTGTGCCCAGCCGGGGAAATAATAGCAGGAGACGCTAGGGAGGCAGGCATGAGCCCTTTCCCCTGTGGCATGCCTTGCTCTTGGAGTCTGAGAGTCTGAATGCAAGAGAGTGGAGAAAAGGAGTCTTGCCCAGTGGGAGGGGATCTGCCCCTGGCGTAGAGGCAGGAGGTGGAGGGAGGGGTCATGGTTTGGGGATCAGCAGGATCTCAGAGGAGTTCTGAAAGAAATGGCACCAGCCAGGCTCAAAGGGCAGGTGCTGATGGGTGGTGCTGGAGGAGGTCACATAGGCCTCACATCTGAATCCCAGAGACCCCAAGACTACAGAAAGGGTTCCCTTTGGTGCCCCTGTTGGTGACCTCAAGGACATACTGCCCCTCCTAACCTCTGCTCCCTGCTGGGCAGTCGGCTTACCCCACAAATATGCAGACAGGAGTCACTGTCCCCCACTGTTACAAACCCTGGTTTGGCCTTTGTTTTTTGACTCAGTCCACCAATTAACATCCACACGTGTAAGAAAACAATTGCAAGCAAAGTAAACATTTCTTGAGTTACTCTTGAGTAACTTCCCACACCCCGGGAAGCTGGGGAAATTGTGAGCAGCCTGGTTGGATCCCTGGTTTCTTGCACAGCATGTGGGCCACCATGCCGAAGCAGCAGCAAGTAGGGTTCACCGGAGGGCCACCGGGAATGGGCCACATGGGACCCCCACTGTCCACAGGCACCCGACTCCCAGCTGCAAAGCTGCCCTTGACTGATGATGATGTCCGGCAAATGGTAGTATATTCTGGAAGGCTGGATCAGCCTGGTCGGCTAGGACAGGCGGATCCTGACCCTCACACTGGAGTGGGTCACGAGGGCGCCATAGTGGCCCACCCAGGAACGCGTGTCCCTCCCATACTGCTCAAAAGACACGTAGCGGATGCCCTTGCCAAAGTTGGTGAAGACATGAGACACCTGCATGGGGAAGGAGAGCGGGAGGGTGAGGACCTGTGGGCCCTTCCCTTCCTCCCCTTCCTCAACAGGCACTCCCCAAGGACCAGCAGGGTCCCAGGCCCTGCTCTAGGGGCTGGGGATACAGCAGTGAAGAAAGCAAAAAGGCCCTGCGCAGGTGAAGCTGATGGTCTCACAGGGGACTCAGACACTGAAGACAACTGGGGGTAAGGGGCAGGGGGGTGGGGTACAGTGAGTGAGCAGAGACCTGAAGGAGGGGAGGGAGTCGTGGGGATCCGGACAAAGAGTGTTCCAAACAGAGGAACAGTCTTGGGGCGCTTGGGTGGCTCAGTTGGATAAGCACCTGCCTTCGGCTCAGGTCATGATCCCGGGGTCCTGGGGCCGAGTCCCACATCAGGCTCTCTGCTCAGCGCACAGCCTGCTTCTCCCTCTGCCTGCCGCTCCCCCTGCTTGTGCTCTCTCTCTGACAAATAAATCTTCAAAAAAAAAAAAAAAAATTCTCCCTTAAAAAAAAAATAGAGGAACAGTCAGCACAAAGGCCCTGAGGTAGAAGTGTCCTGGAGCAGAGAGGAGAACAGGAGGTGGTGTCAGGGAAGTAAAGGGCAGATCATGTGGGGCCTTGTGGGCCATGGAAGGACTTTGGCTTCTGCCTTTTCTTATCCTTTGCAAATTTTTTTTTAATGGAGATAGTATTTACCTAACACAATGCACCATTTAAAGCTGTACAATTTCGTGGTTTTTAGTATATTCACAATGTTATGCAACTATGACCAACTAATTCTGGAACATTTCCATCAGCCCAGAAAAAAGCTTCATAACCTGGCAACCACTCATCTCTCTGCTTTCTCTCTGTGTGTCTTCGCTTCTTCAGGGCATTTCCTATACATGCAGCCCTACAGTGTGTGGTCTTTTGTGCCTGGCCGCTTTTCACTTAGCATCCCATTGCCAGGGCTCATCCATGTTGTAGCATGGGTCCATACTTCATCACTTTTTATAGCTGCATGATAAAACTGGCTTTTCCTCTGAGATGTAGCCCTAGGAGGGTTACAAGCGGGCAGACTTGTGATCTGACTCTTTTAAATGGGATCTTTCTGGATGTGTGTTGGGTGGGGAGGAGGAGATCAGAAGAGGAAACAAGAAGGCCACCTCAAGGGTTTGGTATTTTTGATTATTGTCATTATTATTATTTTTAGAGAGCATGCCCATGCTGGAGGGGGAGGTGGGGCAGAGGGAGAGAGAGAATCATAAGCAGGCTCTGACACCGGGCTCAATCGCACGACCCTGACAACGTGACCCAAGCTGAAATCAAGAGTCAGACGCTTAACCGACTGAGCCAGCCAGGTGCCCACAAAGGTTACTCTGATTAACAGGTGCGATGACTCAGCACAGGCTTGGGAGCCAGCCTGGGTGTGAATGGACCCCTGCGTGCTTTAGTGTGACTTGGGGCCAGTCACTTAACCTTGCATGCCTCAGTTTCCTCGACTCTAGAATGAGGATAGAGGCAAGGACTTTGATTTACCACTGCATCCCAAGCACCTAGAGCAGTGCCCAGCACACAGTAGGGGCTCTGCTAATGAAATACATTAGTTGGCAAAACTCTGGGGAGAGTGCCTGGGCAGAAGTAAGGGTTCCGTGGTTGTTGGCTGTTATTGTTAGAGACCTCCAGCCGTGATGAAGCCTGAGAAGGGTATCTGAGCAGGTGGGAGGTGGGGTGTGTCTTTGGGCAGATCAGGGGTGGTCTGGAAGGCAGTCTGGACCCACCTGTCGGCAGCCTCTCTCCGTCCACTGAAGGACCGGGTTGGGTGAGGCCGAGAACTTGACCACTTCGTTTTCGTACACATCCAGGAGGCGGACCCGGAGCCGGTAGATGCAGCCACAGTTCTCTCGGGCACCCCACCTGCCAGGTGGTGGTGAGCCTTGATGCCCCCGCCACCCGCCTGGTCACCAGGCTGAGGGCTAAGCCTCCCTGCACTTTGATGAGGGTCGCACACCCCACGCTGCATATGGAGAAGTCAGGCCCTGGGAATTTGCGGGGAGGAGCCTGGGTGCTCCTGGGGTGGATTCTAGAGGCTTTGCCTTGGATGTGTGTGCGTGGAGGGGGAGGAGGATGGTGTCTGGGGAGGAACCACAACCTGGGAGAGGAGGAGCCTGGGTCTTTCTGGGGAGGAGCCAGAGCCCCAGGGAAGAAACCGGACTTTGTGTGGGGGAGCAAAAGCTGGAAGGAGGAGCCTGAGTGCTTTGTGAAGGAACCGGGGTGCTCTGGAACCAGGGCCAACTCTGCCCCTCTTGAGTCTCAGTTCTCAGGGCACAGTGCTCCGAACCTTCCTGAGGACTTGGGTGTCCACAAGCCCTTAGGGTCCATGCTGAGTGTGGCGATGAGGGTGGAGTGGGTGAGATGGGGTACCTCGTTTCAGATCAAGCCAGTCAATGGCCCCCATGTCAACAACCCCGGGGCCTGCTGAAAGGGGTCAGGGAAGGGTGCGGGGCGGGGGGGGCTCTGAGCTCGTCAAGGCTCTGCCCCTCCCAGCCTCTGCAACTGTGAGAGTATCCCCTTCCCACTCAGCCTCACCATGAAGGGCACACAGTAGCCGCAGCCAGACAAGGGGGCTGATGGGGGGGCACGGAGGAACCCTTTGTGCAGCATGGCTGCCAGGCCCGATGGCGCTCGGGGTGGGTTGCCATTCTTGACTCACCAGTCGGCCACACAGATCTCGATCTGGGCACTGTCCAGCAGCTCCTGCCACACTCCTTCCATCACCAAGTCTACAAGCTGCCTCTTGAAGCACCATCTGGGAAGGGGAGATGGTGTAGGGATGAAGAAATCCACAGCCCAGAAATCACCTCCTCCAAGAAGCCTCCCCTGACAACCCTGTCTGAAGCAGCCCCTCGGGGTTTGCTGTCCTGGACAAGATGTAGGATGGACTGGGCATGCCCGCTGGCCTCTCCCCTCCTTTCCACCATCCTCCAGCAGGCTCTGGGCTCCAGGAGACTGACCTGTATGTCCTTAATATTTGTGGGGACTGGAACACGAGTACAAATGGAGGCCCACACTGAGCGGGGAATTCTGGAGCCTCCTAAATAAAGTGTGGAGGCCCAAGGACTAAGGTCGTACTGCCTGTATGGACAGGTCTCCCTTACTCTCCCCTTCTTGCTGGGTTAGCCAACGGGAAGCGCTAGCAGGAGAAGGAATGGTGGGAGGAGAGTAAAATCAGGTTATTTAGCCTCCCGGCTCCCTCCCAAGGGATCAGCGTGGGACTGCCGTGTCTCTCCATGAAAGGGCACAGCTTCAGGGGGCCCTCTCCTCACAGCCTTCCCTGTCTTATGGCTCAGGAACTGCTTCCTCCCCTTACCCTTGTCAGGTCTCGGGCCAGAAATGACCCTTTCCCTCACTGTTACTAGCCTGGGGTTCATGGAGTATCCCTTGTGGTCTGCCTATGCCTTTGTAAACAGTCCTTCTCCCCTGATTTGAATATGCCATCTAAAGATCTAAATGTGAAGGACAAAACTGTGAAGTTACTGGAAGAGATTATGAGAGAATACTGTGAGGATCTAAGGGTAGGGAAGGATTTTTCATGCAAATTTCAAAAACAGACGCTAAAGCAAAAAAGAGAAGAATTTGATCATATGAAAATAACCACAAAGAACACCATGGACACAGTTAATAGAGATGGTAGAGTGGGAGATTCCCAGTGTCCAGGATGGACAAGGGGCTAACATCTAAAATACACAAGGAATTCTTGTATATCAACAAGAATGAGATATCAATTCTTCTGAAACCGTTCCAAAAAATAGAAATGGAAGGAAAACTTCCAAACTCGTTTTATGAGGCCACCATTATCTTGATCCCAAAACCAGACAAAGACCCCATCAAAAAGGAGAATTACCAATATCCTTGATGAACATGGATGCAAAATTTCTCACCAAAATACTAGCCAATAGGATCCAACAGTACATTAAAAGGATTATTCACTACGACCAAGTGGGATTTA